GAGTAGAGTAAAAAGACACAGGAGCACCTGGGTCCCTGATCATCCTGGAGCTCTGGACAGTCAACCTCAGACTCAATTTAGGAGACAGAAAAAGAATCTCTAGCCTTCTTTAGTAATCATTTGCGTTTTCTATATATGCAAACAAATCGAATCCTAAATGACAGAGGCAGGATAACATACTCATTTATTCATTTGAGGTTTTCTTCCTACAGTTTACCTTCTGTAATATACAAAGATAGTGAGGTATACTTGTATTACCATCTTTAGAGGTGTTTAAATCTCAGGACCAAAAACTGAAGCTGGCAACAACATATTTGCCTTCCTGGCTTTGTATTCACAAAGCCACAGCTCCTTGCAGAGACGGAGGCCCTTTTCTGGGAGGGCAATGAGGGGAGGGAAGAAACAGCAAGGGCTGGGAAGAGACAACCTCTGGCTGGGCAGAGGTTGCAGGTCTGTGGCTCCCCGCTGCCTGGTAGGTACCTGCAGAGTTGGCAGGACCCCAAAGGAGGAGTATGATGGTGCGCAGGGGCTCCCAGCCTTGTCAGAACATCTCCAACCCTAGACTGCAGGGAGGCAGCAAAATCACAGGCCCCCCAGGGACCCTGAGACATGGGACAATGGGGGCTCCGCAGCGATGTGAGAGGTGAGAGGCCTCCCCTTCCAGATCCTGTCTGAACTCCAGCTTCTGGTTTCACCCTGGAATGGGGAGCAGAGGGAAGGCATAGACCTAATGTCCTCCCAGCCAGGGGTCTAGAGTCAGACTCACTTTAACATAACGAAATAGATATTTCTTATACAACTGAGATTCATACATGCCACACTATCTCTTATGAAATTTGGCACTTTAGAAATAGCATATTGTTTGCAGTAAGCCTTAGATTTGGTCACAGTAAGTCCCAAGACTGTAACTGAAAACCACTACTCTAAGGAACAGCAAAGTAAGTGCCCGTGCCCTGCTATCAATTGCTGTGCAAGGCTGGATCGTGCTTTTGGTGCCTAGGAGCCACCTCACACAGATGCCACTTGTTCCATGAGTGGTCAAAGAGGCTCACTGCTCACGTCAAATACTGTCTTAATAAAAACCATATTTGTTTGAATGCTTTCAGACTCCTCCACCATAAGAAACTTTAATTTCATTGAAAAGAAAGTCTCTCTTGAATCATGCAGAATTAAAGAGGCTCATTTCAATGGCATGTTAGCTGTCTGAGGATAGGAATCATTGAGAAACACTGAGTGACTGTGACTCAGCCAAGAACGCAGACCCCTGATGACAGGGTGGGGACGGATGCTTGATGGAAGTTTTCGGCAAAACAAGGTTTGAAGTTTTTGACGTCAAAATAAAAATAGTCAAAGGTCTGTTTTATAAACTCAGGGAGTTTCTTTCTCCTCTTCTGTTTTTACTTCCATAACTTTCTCTTGAGAGAACAAAGGAAATCTGCCATCACTCTGTCTCTGTAGAGCACAAATGTTTCCCTTTTGTTAATTTCTAATCATGGAGGTAGCACTTGTGAGGGGAGCAAGAACACATGCCTTAGTCCAGAGGTGGCCACGGCCAGCGTCCAGTGGCTTTGGCGTGCCCACAGCGATGGTCAGTGCCATCAGCTACCCCACGGCAGTCATGGAAGACAGCTTATTGGTAACAGGACCAATGGGTCTGTAATTTGGAAATAAAGTCCAAATTTTAAATGGCAAAAGCATTGTGATGTCACTAGAATTAAAAAAGACAAACTAACTTAATTATAGTGACAAATTATAATTTATAAAAATTATATTTGGAAACCAAGAATGTATAAAGTTTCTTTTCAATGTATTGATTTCTACACGTAAAAGATAACTTCACACAATATATTGGGTCCACCGGGACATTTTATAGACCTCTAAAATTTGGGCAATATGCAACATTCGTGGGACCATATTCTTGCCACATATAAAATTCACACAAGCCCTGTTTCACGTGTATTATAAATAAGTATTGATTCAAAAGGTACAAAAACACAAATTTGAAGATTTGCTTTTGCCTCAAATTTTATACGAGAACTTGCCAGGATTATATTTCTTAATTCTCATAAGAAGTGAGGGAGGGCCTTGGATGTCTGTCTTCACCACTGTGGCAACTCATTTATCTGAAATTATTGGGTGATGGTGTTTATAAATATGAGGTTCCATGAAAGCTAAATGTTATATATTAAATGCTGAAACTTCTGCAGTGGAGTTACTTTGTATGGATAATTTTAAATTTTAAACAGAAGACCCTAACTATAATTTTACCATTTCTTTATAGCTCAAGGCTGTCATTACTACCCCCAGTGGCAGCGCTGCACTTTCACACACAATTATTTTGGGGACCACCAACGTATGCTGGGCTCTCTGCCTTGGCACAAGAGACAACAAGTCGGTAGAAACAGCTAAGGCTGCTGAGCGCCTCCCCTTGTGTATGTCTCCAGCTGGGAAGAGGCGGAGAATCAGAAGATCCACCAACCCCTTCCGGAGAGCAGGCTGCCTTCCTCCCCACTCAGAGGACTGACCTGTGACTCCTCAGCCATACAAACTATTTCACATCTTAAGAGACCAAAGAGCAGCTTCATCAGTCTATAATCTATAAATATTTACTGAGAATAAACCATACATATCTCAGGACCTTAGCATATACCATAATACAGCTTCTCTCCTATACGTTGGTTGAAGAAGGATTGTGTGTGTCCAACAGCAAGAGAGAGGGCAAAAGACAGACATAAACATACACAAAACATACCCTCCCGGAATGTTCAATAAGAGAATGTCAAACCTAGTGATGGTGGTATAAAAGATATTAGGGAAAAATATAATTTTTAAAGAAGGGTATATGTTTTCCCAGTCTTACAGTGAAACATAGGAATTTTGTGTATGTGTGTGTGCTCCTTGACACAAATAAAAAATCCAAAGTTTATATCTAATTCCAAAAGGAAAAATATTAAGGAAAAAGTTATGTTGAGTACTCTTAAAAATTGGTATTTTCATGTCTTAAAAAGAATTGGGAAATTAGGAATTAGGGAATCAGAATTAGGAAAGTTGAGAAATTATGTTTCTTTCCATCCTTTTGACAGGTCAGAGAGTTATTTGAAAAGTCCAGGATTAGAAGTTCAGTGTCTCCTCTGGTGTTTGCTACAACTTTGGATCATTCTCATATTTAAGAATGTTCTTCCTTATATATACTTAGATCTTTTTCTTGTCCTCTTGACAAAGGACAATTTGGTCAGCTTCTTAAAGATACTTAGAAAGCAACCTCTTAACAACACATCAGTCAGCTTCTACCATCTTCCAGTAACTGGGCTAGACTTTTTTCATGTATGTGTGTGATGTTTTCTTTGTTGGAAAATAAGAAGTGAATGAGACAAAGTCTCAGCCCTCATAGAGCTGAGAGAATAGGGAGGCAAGGTGGAGGCATTAACAAGTAACTACAATAAATGTCGTAACCATGACAAACACATGTTCAACATTCAGGGATAGAAGAACAAGTGGTAAGCCTGGCTTTTAGCAGTTCTCTGTCAGTCCTCAGCGTCTGCCCTTTATATCTGAGCACGAGCCTAGGGAGATCCATTCACCTCAGTGTTCTGTGGTCAAGAGACCCTTGTATTTGAGGGAAAGGCACAGTTGGCCCGCCTGGTATCAGGCAATCACTTATTCCTGCCATGAACTTTATGGACCCATTAATTGCTTTTGTTCTGTATTATCTTTCAAGAAAATTACCTTCAAATAAATTATTTACTATATGGAATGCTACTTCCCTGTATTATCTTCTCTTTCCACTGAAACTCTAGGTGATGGTCTTTTGCCCTTCAATAACAGTAGCATGACTCTCTGATGTGCTTCGGCCAATATTTCCCCCAGCACTCCTGTTTAAATGTGGTCTGGGTCACAATGTTGATATTTGACAGACAGGAAGGGTCTGAGATTAGAGAATAGGATGTTACCATTTACACTGGAATATCATTCATTGTCTGGATATTTGGTGGAATTTAGACTATATTGGGAGGACTTCGCCTGCATCTGATCCAAGACCTTATTCAAAATATACTAAAAGTGAATCACTCTATGATTTTTAGACAAGGTACAGAAGCACACTGAGAATTCAGGGTTTTAAGAACTATAGATTGTCATTTTCTTTCAATCAGTAGCAGTTTCTCAAATGCAGTTACGAAACCATCTATATTAAAGTAATGTAAGACCATAAGGCAAGAACCATGGTAAAAGTCTGATTTCTACAGAAGTACAGACATAGCTAAAACTTAACCAGCCATTGTTTCCTAACTTGCCTATTGCTGTAACTATTTCCTGAAGAAGTGTCATGTTATCTCTGACAGAGGCAAGATTTTTGACTTCTCCATTTGCTTCTATAGATAACATCACTGTTATAAAACCTAAGACTGATCTTTGAGATATCTTCCAGACTCTGCATTCGGGAGGGACCAACTGATGTCAACCTGACCAGTGGTCATGCATGCGAGCTGATCCGATAGGAGGAACTGTCTCAGCCAAGAAGACAACTTCTTGCCAACCACCAGACCTGATTCCCCAGCTCTTTGTTCACCAAACCACCTTTAAAAATCCTAGCCCCAAAATTCTCAAGGAGATGGATTTGAGAAGTTTCTCCCATCTCCTCGCCTGGGACTTTGTGATACTAAATTCTTTGCTGCAACTCCTGTTGTCTCGGTATATTGGCCTTTATCTGGGCAGTGGGCAAGGGACCAGTTGGGTGGTAACAGTTACTTCTCATTCTTTACTTTGAAACCTATACATTTATCAACTTCATAGTCTATTCTAACCATTGCCTGCCGCAGAATTCAAATAAACTACCATCAATAAGGTCTTAGATTTCTTTGCTCTCTTTAAATGAGGGAAGTGCAAAGATTCATTAATATGTTCTGAGCACTTCAAACTACAAGCATGATGGTAATTGCCCATTAAGGCAAAATGCTCTGAATATTCTTGTTGACTATACAGCAAAAAAATTGTTTACAAACCTGAGCAGAAAGTAGAGGCAAAGTTCTGGAGGGCAGAGTCTACCTCTTCCACACTGGAGAGAGCCAGAAGCCGAGGAATGAGGCCTTCCAGGGACTGCACGAACAGCCGGGCGCTGTGCTGATCAGCCTCCTGGTTCTTCAGCAGTTTTAGAGACAGGGCGGCAGTTCGCAGGGACCGGTGGCCCAGGCAGTCCCGAGGGGTCTGTTCTTCATCAGCCAGGGAACAGTTGTCCGACCCAATGTCTGACACGTCGGACCTGCCTGAGTCCTTTTCTGCTGCCATCGAGTACTGATCACAGGAATCAAATTCCGTCCTAGAAAGATCTTGGTCGTCTACACTAAAGTTGCTCTCACTATACCTAGATCCATAGGACTTCGTCCTGCAGTCCACAGACAGGAAGTTGGTTATGTCAGGGTAGGCGACCGTGTGGCTTCTCTGCACGACATCTGGCTGGTCCACTGCTTCCGGCTCCAACACTTTGCTCAGCGTCTCCTTGCCCTCCTGGATGGCTGGCGACTTGAGGCTGTTCTTGTGATGATCCGAGTGGTCCTCGGGGGTGGTCTGGCCCAACTCTCCCTCCAAAGTGGTCTGGCCTGTGTCCGTGGTGACGCTAATGCTGATGTCAGGGCTCCTCTCATTCCCTGTCTCCCACGGTGTGTGTTCCGAGGACAGCACTCGCCGCTGCCAGCGGAAGTCGGCCTCGTTGATCTCCATGGAGTCTCGGCTCCACTCGGCCCCATCCTTCAGCTCCTCCAGGCGCAGAAGCAGCAGCTGCACCTGCCCGTCGCTCAGGCCCTTGCCCTGGCTGAGCTCGTCTAGGGCACCAAGCAGGGTGCAGACACAGGACACAGCAGCATAGCAAGCTTCGATGCCACCCTTGATGCATGCTTCAGTCATGCCGTCCATGATGCTAGCAGTGTTCAAAAGAGAAAACGGCACCAATGCATAAAACACAGAAAAATGCTCTGAAATAAACAAGAACTATTAGCCTAGCAAACAATATAGTATTCAAAACAGATAGCCTGATTTGCATAAAATCAAATGGTCTGGGCAATAAATAAAACAAACGTGCTCAGGCCCAGCAGAGGAAAAGTTCCAGGTAAAGTGGTCCAGCTTGAGTCACATCCCCTCTTGGACAGCTGGTTTATCTGGGGACAACCAAAAACTCTCGACGGGAATTTATAAACTTCCCAAGGACAGGCACTGAACAATCTCACCTTTGGAATATGCTCGATTTTTCAAATAGAAAAGAGTTATAATGGCTACACAATAACGTGGACCTTCCTCTGTCAAATAAACACATTCCTGAACAGATATGTGTGCGTACAATTATTAGAAATCACATAATGTTCAGTTTTCTAGGGGGGCTACATGTGAAGGACTCCTATAGCAACAGTATTGTAAACCAAAAAGTTATTCTCTAAAATAATCCCAATGAATAATTTTTGTACATTTCACTTTATATATGGAAAGTTATATGATTATAATAAATTGAGATAGGTCTTCTCGCATGGCTTGTGGATAAATTATTAGTCACATTTCACAACATGCAGATTTACAAAAATTTCGGGGATTTACAAGCAAAGTTGAAAGTATTCAGAGAAACATCTTCAGCAAGCAATAAAGACCTAAAAGGGCAATGCATCTTACAGTTTAAGAAGATCCAGATGAGATTTTCTTTTTGAAATTGATCTTTTTCTGGACTCTGGTTCAGTGGAGCTGGGTCCTGCCAAGTCGCAGAGACGCTGTGGGCTCCCGAGTATCTTTAAGAAAAAGGGGAAAAAAGAACAGGAAAGTGAATATCACAAAAAAAGACAAGTTTTAAATTGTGAGATGAAATAAACATGTACCTTCCCTACTGAATGACTATATAAAGGAGAAACACAACCATTTGGAACTTCCAATCTTTATAAAACTGATTTAGTTATTGTTCTTAACGTTACAGTACACATTGAGCTCCTAGCTCCCCAGCTCAGGGCTGGCTTGGACCAAGAAAACTCTCTGAGGGGTTGTTGCAAAATATTTTATAATACAGAACTAGAAAGCATTTGGATCTCTGTTCTTTAGTGAGATTAGCCTATAATGTAACTTTCCTGAACTCTGTTTTATTTGCTAGCAAGTTGGCTAGCTTCATAAACTGGGTAGAGAAGTATTTCCTCCCTCTGAAAAAGTCAGTGGAAGGTTGGAATTATTTGTTCCTTGAAAGCTTGGTGTAAGTTGTCTCTAAAGCTGTCTGGGGCTGCTATGGGAAGACTTTACTACAGATTCAACTTCTTTAAAGGTTATAGAACTACTCAGGTCCTCAATTTTTTCTTGATCCAGTATTTTAAAAGTGTGTAATTTCTTAGGGACTTATCCATTTTACCCTAAGTTTCTAAAGTTACCGGCCTATAGTTGCCTTAACATCCTCTTTTATTTCTTTAATGTTTGTAACATCTGTAGTTGGGTACAGTTTTTTTTTTTTTCCTTTTTTTTTTTTTTTGAGACAGCATCTCTGTCGCCCAGACTAGAGTGCGGTGGTGTCAGCCTAGGTCACAGCAACCTCAGACTCCTGGGCTCAAGTGATCCTCCTGCCTCAGTTTCCTGAGTAGCTGGGACTACAGGCATGCGCCACCACGCCTTGCTAATTTTTTCTATTTTTACTAAAGACAGGGACTCACTCTTGCTCAAGCTGGTCTCAAATTCCTGACCTCAAATTCCCAACATCCTCCTGCCTTGGCCTCCCAGAGTGCTAGGATTACAGGTGTGAGCCACTGCACCTGGTCCATTTTTTTCATTCTTAATTCTGTTTCCTTGTACCTGTTCTGGAATTTTTAAAATTTCTCTTGAGAGAAGTTTTTCAATTTTCTTAGTCTTTTCAAATTCTAACATTTTCTGCTTTTTGATCCTTTATAGTCTATTTGCTTTTTATCACATTACTTTCTGCTTTTATCCTTATTTTTCCTCCTTTCTACTTTCTTTGAACTTATTCTGCTCTTTTTTTCCAACTATCTAAGTTGGAGAATTTGGTCATTAATTTTAGGTTTTTCAACTTTTTAATATAAGGAGTTAAAGCTATAAATATCCTCTTGTACATGGCTTTAGCTACCTGTTCATGAGTTTTCATATACAGAATTTTCATAATTGTTCAGTTCTAACCAATGTTTATTTCCATATGGCAGAGGAATTTATAGAAAATTTCAATTCAGGCTGAATTAATTCAAGGAAAGAATGGTTAATGAAGTGTATGCAGAGCAGACATACCATCATTATATCATTCATTTTCAAAGTGATTTATACTCCAGGCAAAGTAGGAAAAGGTATATTATGTGGAAAAAGTTATATTTTCAGCAGCTCTCCTCTTTCCCTCCTTTTATATTTCTTTCTTACTGCAGAAATTGGAAACTTCTCCTGTCTAGGAGGAACAGAAACGAAGCTTCCACTTTTCTCTACATATTTCATTTCTTTGGCATCAAAACGGGACTGGTGATGCTGGGGCCAAGTCAGGTAGGCGCTCTCTTCTCTCTCTCCTTCCCGCTCTCCACAGGCCTGCAGTCAAGTGGCTAGTCCTACTGCCTCTAGCTGCTCCATCTCTTGCTAGAAGGGTAAGTGCAGTTCCCCAGGATGCAGTGGGAAATCTCACTCTCTCCTGGGATCTCACCACATTTTCTGATCCAACTTCACCAGTAATAAATTAGAGAATATATTTTAATTCCCACATTAATCTTATGTGTATTTCTCCACCGCTTCAGAATCTGGGTTCTGATTAGGCTTCTGAAGAACCCTGAACGAACACTAAAAGAAAGGCAAGACACTTTCAATCTCAGCTTCTTCAGGTGCGAACGAGGGATGTGGGGTCAGCGGTTGGGGTGTCACAGGTCTGATAAAGACTAGGAGACTCCCTCTAAAGATGAACCACAGGAGAGAGAAAAGGAAGCAAGGCGTACTTTTGCATTACTGTTCATTTTGGGGGAAAGTAGAAACAAAAAAGAGCCTGCACTTTGAAAAACAAAGTGTCCTGTATGTCCTTGATTAATAGGCACATAGTACATGTGGCAGAGTGACAAACTGAAATGAGAACAGGGAAATCACATACCAAGCTTTTAAACTCTAAAAGGCTAAGCAAACATCCTGTGTACCCAGTGGCTTTCTTTGTGTGCATAGCCCTGTACATCTGGGTATCTAGGTTACCAACATTTCCAAATTATTGGTTTTGTCATGTAAAGTGGAGGCACTGCTTTTCAGAGCACCCTGGCCCAAATCAGTCTGCTGGGCTCCATGGGACAGCATTGCCTGGACATGCTACTCAGGTGCTAGCGTCCAACTCTAGCCTCGCCTCTGTAAAATGACCTTGGGAAGCTAGAAAATCTATGAAAAGGGGAAAAACAAAACTAATTTCCTTTGCAGTAGTAAAGACATTATTTGAAATATATTAAACACCTACATACTCCATATGCAAAGTATTTACTTAGCATTCAGGTATCAAGTGGGTCAATGGTGGGCAGCTCCAATGCCTGCCAATTCTGGGGCAAAAGAAAGGTTTCTGGGGCTTACAAAATAGCCCCTTTGCAGACATTTTATCTCCAGGTCATCTGTCATTCAGTCAAAACTTATTAAACACTCATTCTTCTTCTAGCACTGTAGTGTTAAATACCGGGGGAAATATATGAAAGCAATATATACAGAAATATATTTGAGAAGAAGCTTATTCCAACTTACATTGTGAAACGATCAGTGTGACGGGACATGTAATTGATTGCTAAATGGTGGGATGGAATTTTAAAAAGAGCAAGGTGAGTGGTTTGAGGAAGCAGACCCATGAAGGAAGTGGATCTTGAGAGCAAAGAGGCAGCTGTACTTCAAACACCAGCGTTCATGTCCTAGCCCTACTCCTCACAAGGTGAGGCATTTGGGCAAGTGACTTCTCTCCCCACAGCCTCAGTTTCCCCATCTAGAAAATGGGCATATTATCTTCCCAAGGGAGTTTCTGAATAAACTAATGTGAAGTGTTAAAGTATCTAGCCTACGTTGTAATCAACCACTCAACCCTGCTAAGGGGAAGTGGCCCACAGGAATAGGGGTGGGGGGACCCTGAATGAGGCAGGAAGGTAGGAATTGAACAAAGTCAGTCGGGTGGAGTGAAGGTGCACCCTGGGAAATGATGGGAAATGGGAATGATGGAAGACGGCTCTGGAAACTGGGTGGAGTCATCCAGACTTGTTGGGAGAGGCAATAACAAGCCACTGGAGAGCCGTGGGCAATGGCAAAACTGTTAACAGCGGTGACTTACGAACACAGGCCCAGTAAGACAAAAGGAATATGACAGACGGGCAGGAGTGGGATTGGACTGGTGATGTTCAGCCTCCATACGTTTTGTTTTTCTCTTCTTTAGGGTAGCAGTAAGTGCACCAAATATTTTTTTAACACTATATACTTACAAAGTATTTATGCAAACTGTACATTACACTTTGAACTTGTAACCTTTGGAATATTATAATGATGTACAGATGACAAAACAGTAAGTTCAGAGTTAAATGATTTACCTACTGTCACCTAGCTGGTTAGCAGCAGAGAGAGGATTTGAATCCTGACTCTTAAATTCAGGCTCGTGAAATGGGTAGCACCAGGAAAGGGGCTTCTGGAATTATCTGCACTGCAACTTGAGGGTCCAGTCATAAATGTGGTATTGGAAAAGACCATGGCCAGGGGCACCAGGGTTTGCATATTTTCTCTCTCTTTGGGACTCTGGGCAAATCATTCGGCCTCTTAAATTCTCAGTTTCGTTGTGGGAGGGACATTCCTTTTCCCTGGCATCATATTCCTATGAAGAGGATTATCAAGTAGAGTAACATTCTGGGCTGCTCTTCTCCCCTCCTCTCATTTCTTCCAGGTGCAGGGGGAGCCCAGGTCTGACTGGTAAATTTAGGATAAATTGATTGGATGGAATTTAGTATTTAGGAGCTGAGCATGCACGGCCAGTCCCTTCCTCTCCCCTCTTCCTGGGGATCTGCCTGTCAAGGGAAGCCCACTTCCGCTCCTGCAGGCTGCAGGTTTAACAGCGGTGGGGACAGGGCCCTGTGCAAGGTGCTGCTGTACAGAGTAGTCTAGTCTCACCGGCCTCCGAAGCTGTGCTGCGCTCACCAACCTAGGGGAGATCAGTTCTCAAAGCGGCCTTTTGATCTCCATCGCCTGAACACTCTGGTGGGGAAAAGCAGTAATATTCCTCACCAGTAAAAATAAAGTGAACATCACCGGTCCAATCCCACTCCTGCCCATCTGTCATATTCCTTTTGTCTTACTGGACCTGTGTTCATAAGTCACCACTGTTAACAGTTTTACCATTGCCCACGGCTCTCCAATGGCTTGTTATTGCCTCTCCCAACAAGTCTGGATGACTCCGCCCAGTTTCCAGTTGACATACAACTTCACAAAGTTGTTATGAATATTAGAGATAGTATATGTGAAGTGCCTGGCATACAGTAGCAACAAAAAGAATGGCAATTGTTATTGTATGCGCACAGATTTTCTTAACCAGCCATCATATCTGGTTCACTCCTTCATTTCTAGAAATGTTGCATCAGAACTTTCTATTATTCATTACAATCAAATCTCATTAAAATAATACTAAGAAGAATTCAAATTTAACTCTGCAGAAATTGGTTGTTGGCAAATATTGCTTAAAGTCAATAAATCATCAACAAGGGATTTTTGTTACTCTGGTTTTGGGGGGGTTAGGTACCAAAAGGAAATGCAATTTGACCTTTATGAACAAGTTCACAAATACGAAAATGTTCATAACTTTTTTGGTTCTTTGAGAGAAAGCAGAAGAATCTTTGAAGCACCTTCAACATAACCCTAATTCCTCCTCGAACCCATAAAGTAGCACACTGGATGGCTATTACAAGCTGCACGACCCTTATGTTCTCCTTGGGGTCATGACATCTGGGAGAAATGAGGCAAAAGAAGGAATGGGGCGAAGGGATTCCTTTTAGCAATCAGACACTGGTAAAGCTCTGTTTCGGCTCATGTACAACCTGAGTACAAAATCATCTTGAAATCCAGTTTGGTAAAGGTGAATAAACATATATATCTGCACAAACATCACCTAAGATAGCAGAATGATATCTCAGCCTGGGGCCTGTCAGGTGCACAGCTAATGGAGTTTTAACAAGCATGGGCTCAACATAAGTGAGCATCATAACCCCTCCTTAACCTGGCTCCCAATGCAGTACATACACTGACTCCAGAGATACCATTTGTTGCTGGAGACCACGTGGTAGCAAAGAAGTTCCAGGAAGTGATCAGCCAGCATTTTCTGAGAGCTTCCTGTGTGCAAGGCACTGTGTCCAGACCCCCCTGGGCAAGGCCGGTGGCCATCACAGCCCTCCTCACCTCTTTCATTATTTTGATGGCTTCTACCCGGTGCTGGGGTGGGGGATAAAGCAGCACTCGGTGGTAGAGGGACTGGAGCACGGGCTTCATGGAGTCCACCGACCCCACGAGCCGGACCAGCTCGGCCGCGATGTAGTAGATGGTCCGGGCCACGGGGCCGCTCAGGGCTGGCGCCGTGCAGGAGCAGCCCGATCCCCGGCCGTGGTCAGAAACTCCGGGGGATGCAGAGTCCGACTCCGTGCTCGTGCTGGCACTGCTGCTGTGAGCAGACGTGATGGTTTTGTCGTGAATCGGGTTCCCCAGGATCACGATGAGAGCCGGGCAGAGGTTTTTCCTGGGAAGAGACAGAGGGAAAAATAAGTTTCACAAGTCAAACATGAATACTACCGCATGGGAAAACAGCAGTGCCCCATAAAGGACTAGTAAGAACGGGGTTCTTTACTGCTCCTTCTTTTAGCTACGTTCTGCCCGGTGTTCCAAATCTCTCCATCACTTCTGGGGATATCAACAGAATACTTTTCCTCATCAATAGAGCTAGGATGAACTAAATCAAATAGCAAGAGAAGCATTAAGAAATCATCTTTAGTGAAGAAACAGACTCGACATGCTATGTGCTTAGTTATCAAGCTTCATCTTACTATAAATAGCAAAATTATTTCTCATTTGAGAAGTTAATTTCAAATTCCATTCTGACACCTGTCATTCAACTTCCTCCCTGTTGATGAGCCCAGGGACCCACAGCAACTAGTTGGCTGCCTGCGGGGCCTGTCACTTCTGGGAATCTCTGACTGTGAAAAGTGACAAGTATTCAGGCTGAGGAGGAGAATGTACCAGGGTAGGGCTAAGAGTAAAGTTCACTGCCTCTTGCCCCCTGCATAAGGCTCTGGTGCCTGTAGACACTTTTCTGAACAAACTGAGAATGTAGAAACTCTGGTTCTTGTTTTCATGGTCCTATGATGTAAACACAATGTAAGAGGGCTTTGGAAGCATATTCTGTCCTAACGATCAGCACTTTCTCTCTGGATTTTGGTCTGACACGTGTAAACAAAGCAATTTCTCTGCCTTGCCTCTAAAACATTTACACACAGAGGAAACTACTGGTGGGTCACGGATACTGAGGAAAGAAACCCAGAGACACGGCCAGCAGGGTCCTCGGCTGGCGTGGGGGGCGCCAGGAGGGGTGCTCACCAGATCAGGTCTGTGAATCCCCTGTGCAGGTACATGCAGGAGGAGGAGCTGCTGAGCACGGACAGGATGCACTCCAGGTACAGAAGCTGCAGCTGCTGGCTGTCACTGAGGAACAACAGAGCCCATGCACAAACGCAGACAAGATACAGGGTAAAATTAAAGAGATGACGTGGAAAAACACTCAGAAAAATGTTAGGCATTACTGAAGCACTCATTTTTACGAAGGGTGGTTAGTGTTATGGGTTGAACTGTGTCCCCTCCCCTCCCAACCCCCAAAATTCATAAGTTGAAATCCTAATCCCCAGCACCTCCGAATGTGACTGCATTTGGAGACTGGTCTTTAGAGAGACAATCAAGTTAAAGTGAGTTGACTAGGGTGGACGCTAATCCAACAGGCCTGGTGTCCTTAAAAATATGGAAATTTGGAGACAGAGACACACAGAGAGGGAAGACAGTGTCAAGAGACACAGGGAGGAGACGGCCATCGACAAGCCAAGGAAAAGAGGCCTGGAATAGATCTTGCCCTCACAGCTCTCAGAAGGAACCAACCTCCCGCTCCCCACTTAGATCTCGGGTTTGTAGTCTCCAGAACTGTAATACAATTAATTTCAGTTGTTTAAGCTGAAACAGTTTAAGTTGTTAAACTTCGAGGCATCCAGTTTATAGTACTTTGCTACAGCAGCCTTAGCAAGCAAATACGGCTGGGGCTATTTTTATTTTTATCAATAAACTTTATTTTTTAGGGCAGTTGTAGATTTACAGAAATTGGACCATGAAACAGAAAGTGATCATATTTTACCCCTCACACATGGTTTATCTTTTTTATTCACTCTGTCACCCAGGCTGGACTGCAGGGCCCGGATCACTGCTCACCATAAATTGGAATTCCTGGGCTCAAGCAATCCACTTGCTTCGGCTTCCCAAGTGGTTGGGACTACAGGTGTGTACCACCAGGCCAGACTAACTGATTTTTTTTCCTTTTGTAGAGATTAGGTCTCTATGTTGCCCAGGCTGGTCTTGAACTCCTAGCCTCAAGAGATCCTCCCAGCCCGGCCTCCCAAAGTGCTGGGATTACAGGTGTGAGCCACCATGCCCAACCAGTTTATTCTAATATTAGTATCTTACATTAGTATAGTACATTTTCTATAATTAATGAATATTG